AAGAGTTTGACGGATTGAGGGCGGTTCCTTCTCAAACTGTGGTTCTCGCCTTGGCTCGGCGCACATTCGTGTCTTGAGTATTCGTTCACGGATTCCCATTCTCAACGTACCAGAAATGATGTTTTGGAAGTATTCCTGATCATGCGGGTGCAATAGTTACGTTGTTTCTTTGTGTTGAAGTCGTTGGAATGGCGTTCTGGCACGACTCAGGATCGTCAAAACGCAACAGTCAGGTTGATATGTGGCGTTGGAATCCCGAGACAAATGTTTTGTCATTCTTCAGGGTCTTCAAACGGTCATCCTCCAACGAGGCAGTTCCCTCAATGGAAATGAACCGTTATGAGGGCCAATGAAAAGGGAGTTTTGAGAGAGGGTTTACTCGGGTTTACACTGGTGCCCGCCCTTTTTTTCCCCCTCCTCCTATAATCCTACCAGCCCTCCTCCTATATACTCTCCCTTTTTCAACCTCCTCCTCCTCCTCCTCCCTCCTCCCTCCTCCTCTCCTTCCTCTCCTCTCCTCCATCCTCCTCTCCCTGCCTTCCCCCTCCGCTCCTCCTCCTCATCCTCCCCATACTCCTCATCCTCCTACTCCTACTCCTACTCTCCTCCTCCTCCATCCTCCTCCCTCCTCCTCCCCCCTCTCTACTTTCCCCTATTCCTCCTCCTCCTCCTCCTCCTCCTCCTCCTCCTCCTCATCTTCCTCGTCGTCGTCGTCCTCCTCCTCCTCCTCCTCCTGCAGGCGCGCCCGCGTTTGTCGTCGCGGGTGACGTCGTGTGTCGCGGATGATGTCGTGTGTTGGTGGTGTCGCAGGTGGTGCCGCAGGCGGTGTCGCAGGTGTGTTTGGACTGGTCCGCCGCAGTCTGGCTCAAACCGCCTGCCCTGCTGGCCCATCTCGCGCGAGCTGAGCGCGCGCGGGGTCCGGCCGGTGGCGCGGGCCGCGCGGCGGGCCTGGGCGCGGAGGAGCAGTCTGCCGCCCCTCCTTTCCTCCTGCATGTCCCCGCGCCGCGCCTCCGGCGGATGTGGCAGGCGGTGTTCGGCGAGGGCGCGGCGGAGGCGGGCGACGCCCACGGGCCTGGGGCGGATGCCGCCAGCGCCGCGGACGACGCCGGCGGAGCCCCCGCGGGCGGGGCGGCAGCCGCGGGCCTGGAGCCGCCAGGGCCGCGTCCCGCCGCCGCGGGCCCCGCGCCAGACCAGGCCGTGTGCCCAGCGGCCGCAGGCCGCGTGCCCCGCGGCGCGCCCTCGGTGCTGCAGCCCGGGCTGCGGCCGGCCGCGCAGGGCGAGGGGCTGCCGCAGGCCCCCCGCCCCGGCCCCGCCGCAGTGCTGGACGATCCGGACCTCCAGCGCAGCGAGGGCGAGCACCTCCAGTGCGGCGAGGGCTGCGGCCCGCAGGCGCCAGGCGCCGCGGCGGGCGCGGAGGAGGCGGCCTGCGGCGGCGGCGGCCGGGGGCGCACGGCGCCAGAACCGCGGGAGGAGAAGGAGGAGGAGGCGGAGGAGGAGGAGGAGGAGGAGGAGGAGGTTGCCATTGAGGAGGACGAGGCTGCCGAGGAGGAGCGCACGCCCTTCGAGGAGGAGGAGGCGGCGGTGGCCGAGGAGGAGGAGCTGCCTCGCTTCTTCATGGCCGACTGGGGCAGCGAGTTCGGGGCCATGCTCGCCCCCCGGCCCGCCGCGGCGGCGGCGCCCGGCGCCGCCGCGCCCGCCGAGGGCCGGGGCGCCCCGGCGCCCTGCCCGCGCGGGGGGCAACCCGGGCCTGCGCGCGGGGCGGCTGCGGGGGAGGAGACGGGGGATCTGGGCCTCCTACAACCCTCGTCAAAGTTAACCTCAACAATGTCTGACGTGGTTGAACTGCTTGTCGGAAGATCTGGGGCCGAGTATCGATGAGTGCGGGGTACTTGCATGCGCCGCCCCTCCACTGTCGGTCGACGTCAAACTTTCGAGTCAACTTCGGTCAGACTATCTTTGCCCTCGCCCCGACATTGAAGGGGCGGCGTGTCGACATTGAGGGGCGCGCCGAAATCGAAATGACGTGCCAGCGACTGTTGAGGTTATTTTTGACGAGGGTAGTAGATGGGGTCGGGTTGACACAACCCCATACCCCCTCGAGCCATGGCAAAAGTCATGACGGGAGGTTTTTCGCCAGGTTGGCCCCCTCGGGGCCCTTACCGGGCCTCGGGGCCGCCAAAAAGCGACTCGGGATGACACTCCGGTCCTGGGGAAGAGGTTCAGAACTCGGGGGGTCGACGTACTGACAAAAATCATGACGTCGGGGGTCTGGGAAAGGGGGTCCAGCGACAAGGGGGTGGTGCAATAGATTTGGTGCAATAGATCTGTGGGGTTGTCATACATTCGGGGCGTGCAATACATCCCGGGGCGCAAATGGGTTGCTGGATGTTCGCGTGCAATATATTACATACTTGCAATACAATGCAATCCAATTCTCCGGCGCAATACATTTGCAATACACTTGCCCCAAATCTATTGCACCACTCCCGGTTAGCTGGACCCCGCTTTGGGTCACCCGAAATAGGGTCGGAGCAGATGGGGTCGGAGGATCGCGCCGCATCGCTGATGCATCGCGCATGCGAGCTCGCTGTGCAGCCCGATTGGCCTCGCGTCTGCATCGCCGATGTATCGGCGATGCGGCGAGATCCCCCCGACCCCACCTACTCGGACCCCATCTAGGAGGCCTCCAGAGGAAAGCCCGCAACGACCCCACGATTGGCGCTTACTACAGACAGCCCTGGGCTCATGATGTTCCAACCTACTTGAGCCTGGATTGCCAGAAAGAATTCCGAGCGCCACGGAAGCACCGAAACTGGAGGTTTTTCACGCGCCGGGCCATGTGAGGCGGTTTTCGTTCGACACTGTTTCGATTTTTTTTGGTGTTCGCAGTTATTTCTGGGATGTGGTCCTTAGTTACCATGGGAGCAACATAACCCTGGGCGTGTGCTGCCCAGACCTCCTCGCGTTGTGAAAAAATTCGACGGGAGGTTTTTCGCTGAGTATTTTCGGCCTCCGGGGGCCCTTCCCGGGCCTCGGGACAGTCAAACAACGACTCAGGATGAAAAACGGGTCCCCGGGAAGGCGTCGAGTCCTCTCTGGGGGTCGACGTCGTGAAACAATCACGACGTCGGAGGTCTGGGTAAGGGGCCGTGATCTGCTAGATCTAGATATCCTCCTCGGGTGCGTTTACCGAAGGGCTTCGCTGGACGGGGTGCTCAACAGGAGGTCGACGAAGGAAGACGAAGTAATCTTCGCCGACGTTGGCGCGTAAGCTGCCCGCGCAAGGTCGCGCGCAAGCGCTGTCGTTTCCACTGTATCGTGCCGCGCTTGCGGCACGCTTACGCCACCGCGTAAGGTCGCCATGCGATCTCGCGTCTTGAGACCCGTTTCTTGTTTGTCGCTCAGGAGGTTCTGCTGTCGGCGGCGAGCCCGTGGGGGAAGCGAGAAGTGGCGGGTCCTCTCAGGAGGCTCGGACGTCCCCCAGCCTTTGAGAAGTTTTCTGAGCCCTCCCCGAAGACACAGAGCAGTTCTCAGAAGGCTTACGTCGGGCACGTCCCTCTACAGGAGGCACATTGAAAAGTAGTAAACAAATAGTCAGGGGACGCCTTTTGGTACAATTTTTGACTTTTCTGTGATACATTGTTCGTCGAAGGTCCGCCTGCAGGAGGACATGCCCGACCTAACCAAAGGCGCGAGGGCTTCGCGCCTTTGGTTAGAGACCTTGCCAAACTAAGAGTTCAGCGATTTATAAGTTTAGCTAAAGCGCGTCGCGCTCCTGATGGGCGCACCGTGGATTGCCCCGCGCAATTGCGTCAAGGTGCTAAACACGTGCGGCTTTCGAAACGTGTCAGACGAATTGCGCAATTTCGCGAATATATGTTTGAATATGATTTGTTGTTGTTTGTCGTTTTGTCACAGATCCTCTGGCCGCCGCGCCTCTCGCAAGCTTCTGAGAAGCCCCGCCGCCTTCTGAGAAGGCCTTCTCTTTCTCGCTTCCCCTCCCCGGCGAGCTGCCGAGTGCAGCTTTCGGGCCACCGCGCTGGGGTCTCCAGCGGCCGTTCGGGACGATCCGGGCGTCCCCGAGGCGCTCTCGGCGAGGCGCAGCCGCGGGAACGCATCCCGAGGGCGGCAGACTGGCACCGAGGACTCTACGAAAGCGCCCTCGCTCGCCGCCCTCTCCCTCTCACCTCCCCCCCTCGCTCGCCGCCGCTCTCGGTCGACCGGGAGGTCCTTCTGCCCTCGCGGGGACACCACCGAGCGCGTTCCACCACTCGCAGGGCGCCTGCTCGATACAACGTGCGGAAAACACGTGCTGGCGTCGATGTGCAAATATCTTTATAAAGTTTGATCTCTATCTATGTATAGTATGTTCATACGTACATACGTACATACGTACATACGTACATACGTACATACGTACACACGTACACACGTACACACGTACATACGTACATACGTACATACGTACATACGTACATACGTATATACGTACATACGTACATACGTACATACGTACATACGTCCATACGCACATACGTACATACATACATACATACATACATACATACATACATACATACATACATACAAACACACATACCTACCTACCTACCTACCTACCTACCTACCTACTTACCTACCTACCTACCTACCTACCTACCTACCTACATACATACATACATACATACATACATACATACACACACGCATACATACATACATACATACATACATACATACATACATACATACATACATACATACATACATACATACATACGTACGTGCGTGCGTGCGTACGTACGTACGTACGTGCGTACGTACATCCATCCATCCATCCATCCATCCATCCATACATACATACATACATACTTACTCGCATACGTACATACGTTTATACACATATGTGTATCTATATATATATATAAATATCTTTATCGTAAAGCCCCCGCGGCGGATCCAGGCCATGTGTGAGCAGCTATACTGCGAGGGTAGGGCAGCGCGCTTGTCTGGAGGAGGGGGCCCCGCCGCTGCCGGACAGCCAGTCCGACCGCCTCGCCACGCCAGCCGAGGAGGCGCTGCTGGCGGACCTGCGCGGGGCCCTGGGGGCGGACCTGGAGGCCGCGCCCCAGCACGAGGAGCTCGTGGGCGACGTGCGGCTGCTCCGCACGCTGCGCAGCAGCTGCCACCAGGTGGCGCAGAAAGCCCAGGCTTGAAAGTCGGGCCTGCCCCTCTGCAGGAGGAGCATTCAAAAGTAGTCAAACATTAGTCTGGGGACCTTTTTTCACCATTTTTGAACATTGTTGAATCTTGCGAAGGCCTACGGCCGGTGCCGCCGACCCTGAGAACGACGCAGTTGAAAACGAGGGTGGGGGCAGGGGGAGGAGGATGAGTGGGATGTGGAGTAAGGGTGGAGGAGGTGGATGAGGGAGGAGGAGGGGGGAGAAGGATGTGGAGGAGAAGCAAGAGGAGGAGAAGGAGGCAGAGGAGAGCAGGAGGAGGGGGAGCAGAGGGGGGGATGGAGGAGGAGAGGGAGGAGGAGGAGGAGGGGGAGGAGGAGGAGGAGGAGGAGGAGGAGGAGGAGGAGGAGGAGAGGAGGAGGAGGCCAGAGACTTTCTTGCGACAGCCTGGGGCTCTCTTGAGGCCGTCTTGGGCCGTTCAGGGCTCCTCTTGCGCCGTCTCTAGGCACTCTTGGAGGCCTCCTGGGCAACTTGGGGTTTTCCCGGGCTGTCTTAGGGGCAGTTTGTGGGCCCCTTGAGAGCCTCTTGGGGCCTCTTGGGGCTTTTTCGGGGCCTCTTGGGGGCCTCTTGGGGCTGAGAGCTCGAAATGTCCGTTCGGGTTTCCCGTCTGGGCACTCTACTGGAGCCGTCTTGGGGGCCTCTTGGGCCGTCTTGGAGGCGTCTTGGGCCGTCTTGGGGCCCTCTTCGGCCGTTAGGGGACCCTCTTGGGGGCCTCTTGGGCCGTCTCGGGGCGATCTTTGGGGCCTCTTGGGCCGTCTTGGCCCGTCGTGGGGAATCCTTGAATTTTGAATCTTGGGACTCTCGTGGGAAAGCTCCTGGAGACCTCTTGGGGCGCTTTGCAGGCCTCTTGGGCCGTCTGGAGGCCGTCAAGACGTCTTGGACTATCAAAGATCGGCTTTGCACTAGAACGGGGTGCTGAGAGCGGGGGGGACCCTGCCAGCTCAGTTCCTCCTCCTCCTCTCCTCGTCCCTCCTCCTTCTCCTCCTCCTCCTCCTCCTCCTCCTCCTCCTCATCCGCCTCGTCGTCCTCCTCCGCCTTGTCGTCGTCGTCCTCCTCCTCCTCCCTCCTCGTCCTCCTCCTCCCTCCTCCTCCTCCTCCTCCTCCTCCTCCTCCTCCTCCTCGTCCTTTTCTCGTCGTCGCCCTCCTCTCCCTCGTCGTCCGCCGGCCAGCCCGCCAGCCCGCCCGCCGGCCCGCCCGCCGCCGGCCGGCCAGCGGGGTTTAGGAGGAGGCAGCTGGCAGAGGAGGAGGCGGGAGAGGAGGATCCAAGAGCTCCCGAATCCCAAAGGGAGAGAAGGCGGGAGAGGGGGAGGAAAAAGGAAAGACAGAGAGGGAGAGGGGTCAAGGAAGGGAAGAGGAAGGGGAGGGGGAGGAGGGAGGAGGAGGAAGAGGAGGAGGGGCTGGAGGCTGGAGAGGGTCAGGAATGCTGTCCGCCACCTTGCCTGTCTAGCAGGGTTTCTGTAGTCTTCTAAGGGACCCCCCCACGTGCCACGGAGTTCTGACTGCACCCCCACTATTCCCAGGGGGTCCCTGGGCGGCCATGGCGCCCTGGCGCCTCCCTAGGGCTCTCCAGGGCTGACATGACGATCCAAGAAGCCCACCCTGGCCGCCAGGAAGGCCCATGATGCCTCCAAGACGACCCAAGATAGGCTCCATACGGCCCAAGAGGCCTCCATGCCAAGACGGCCCAAGAGGCCTGCAAGAGCCCTGCCAAGAGGTCCCCAAGAGGCAAAATTCTGTGAGTTTCCTTTGGTTTTTGACAGATGTTGGCATTCTCGCCTTTTCGGCTTCCCGACGCTCCAAGACCCTAGAGGCTCCCAGTAACGCCCCAAGACGGCCCAAGAGGACCCCAAGACGGCCCATGAATGTCCCAAGACGGCCCAAGAGGCCTCCAAGACGGCCCAAGAGGCCTCCAAGACGGCTCCAAGATGGGGCCTAGGCGAGGAGCCCGAACGGACATCTCGAGCCTTCGGCCCCGAGAGGCCTCAAGGAAGCCCCAAGAAGCTCCCAAGAGGTTCGCAAGAGGCCCCCAGGCGGCCCCAGGAGGCCCCAAGAAACCCCCCAGGAGGCCCCCAGGAGGCTCTCGAGAGGCCTCAAAACGCCTCCGACGGCATCCGAACGAACAGCCAAGAGGCCTATAACCCACAACCCAGGCACGGTGGCGGGACTCGCCGTAGGCAGCTGGTATGTGTTTCACATTGGCGCTCTGGCGCGCCCCACGCCAGCGTCGTTGCTTGTTCATTGGTTCGTTGCGTCCTGAAACGGCGGACGCGGCCGAGCAGCCACGAGCCATCTACCATCAGCCCACAGCGACGCCACCTGCCCACAGTGCACGTGCACTGACCTTTGACAGCTGGCAGCTCATCGCTCGACGTCGGACTTGGCAGCAGCTGCAACTCAGGAGGACGGTCCAGGCGGTGCCTTCGCCGACACAGACAGCACGTCCAACAGCTTGCTCGCCTGAGACGCGATGCTTGTCTCGCCCTCCATCGTCTTCAGATCTGCAAGCGTTGCTGGATCGACCTTCGGGAAGAAACACTTCCGGACGCCAGAAGCTGGCAGATTGTTGGCAGGGGTGATTCCCACCAACCACCCTGGAGGCACGTAAATGCTCTCGCCCGCAGTGATCGTGGCGTGGTACAGGTTGCAGTGCACATCGTGATCAGGGCCAGCCAACTTCTTGGCGGTCTCGGCGTCCATATTCTGCATCAGCGCGGCGAAGGCGTGGAGGCTGCGAGCCTTCAAGGCCTTCAGGTCGACCTCCATGGACTCGGGAACCGTGAAGTCGTCCATCGAAACCTTGCCGAACAGCTTGAGCGGGTCGACGAGCAGCACGTGGATGCTGCCAGACACAATGTACCTGACAGAGCCGAGCAAACTCGGCTCGAACCAGTAGCGGACGTAGTTCGGGTAGTAACCGAAAAGGAAAGTCTTGCGGACCTCTGCGAGCGCATTGCCGTCCACTAAGTCCGCGAGGACCCACTCGGCGGGGACCATCTTCTGGATCCAGTCCTGAATGTCGTTGGCGCCTTGCTTGGGCTGCAGAATGTGCTGGACGGCGTTCTCCGCGCACTTGGCAGACAAGAAACCTGTCTCCTCGGAGTTCCACTTGGTCAAGAAGTCCTTGATGACGGCCCCCTGCTTGTCGGCGCAAGCTGTCCACGTATTGCTCTGCTTCAACTTGAAAGGCAAGTCGAACGGCGCGTGAGACTTCACGTGCTCATTGTAGGCATCCTCGTCGACCAGATCTTGAACGGCCCTATGTCCCAAGGTAGTCCAGTCCAGCGCAAAGTTGGCCGTGTTCTTCGTGGACTGCAGCTTCGTCTTGGCATTCTCAACGTCTGCTTCAAGCTTTTCCTTTGCCTTCTCCTCGGCCTCTTTCCTCTCCTGATCCAGCTTCCTCTTCTGAGCAGTTGCCGCCCTGGTGGCACACCGTCTCAATGCCTTGTGCGACTGGTCCAACGCGAACCTGAGCTGGCCGATCATTTCCTTCTGCTGGTCCACGGTCGTAGTCAGGCTGTCGAGCTCCACCTGGTTCTGCACGGTCCCAATCGAGTTCATCAAGGCAGTCATCCGGCTCGAGCTTAGGAACTCAGTAGGATTCTCGACGGGAAGCATAGCGATGCATTTGAAGCCAACTTGCAGAATGGTGCAGTGCACGACGGCGACCTGCTCCTCAGTCAGTGTGAACTCCGCCAACGGCTCGGACTTCTCATTCTCAGCTTTCTTTTCCGCTTTCGCTCCATCGACCTCGCCCTTCTCCTCCTCGGTCTGAACCTCTGGCTTCTCAGACGCCTCATCTGTAGACTGCATCGTCACATCTGGCTTCGTCGTCGTCTCCCCGAAGAGTTCCTTCGTCTTGCCCTTGAGCGCGTCGAACAGCTTCGCCCTGAAGTTCTCGGCGTTGCTGGCGCTGGCTGCGAGGTAGTCGAGGCGGAAGTTGGGTAAGTCAGAGAACGGCCCTTTCGAGATATCCACGTAGGTCTTCACCACTTTCTTGGCGTCGTTCTGCTTCGGATCGAAGCGGCAGCGCAAGTATAAGCCAGACGCGACCAGGCGCTCCTCCAGGATTTGACTCTCCTCAGGGCTGTCCTCCCACACCTCAGCCTGCGACTGGAGGGTGACCGCAGCGTCGGCCATACTGGTCTCCAACTTGGTCCACAGGAGTTGAATGGCTTGTTGCGCCGCCCTCTTGGCAGCCATCCGACTGACCTTCACGTCCGAGATGTCCGCTTTCGTCTTCTTAGTGCCCTTGTCATCGATGCCGCTCTTGTTGTCCCTCTCCCGGGCCCGTTTGCCATCTGGCGTGGTGTTGGTGGCGGCGGCGGGCCTTGACTGGAGTAAGCCCGCGCTCCCTGCTGTCGATCGCAACGCCTCCATGACGCCGAAACTGTCTTTCTGATCCGTCGCACTGGCAGGGATCGTCACGGCGTCGCTCGTCAGGGGCCGGTGCATTTCCCCGCTCAGCGAGGCGGTGGCGCTGAACGGGCGTTTGAAGCCCCTCGAAGCCTCGGCTCTCATCTGGTTAATCGTCTCCTGGTCGATCTTGCAATTGCTCTTCGTGCTGTGGTTGAGCCCCTTGTCCTCGTACTTGCCCTGCCTGTCGTCCAAGGAGTCCTGGCCGAAAAGGTTCTTCGGCAACCACAGGCGCTGCTTAGACCAAGACGGCCCATCTTCGTCGCGACCAACGTCTGGGTCGGCCTTCTGCTCCTCCCAATACGCTTTGGATTTCTCGGGCGCCCATTTGCGGAGGTTCTCCATCATTACCATGAAGATCTCCTCGTCCACTTTCAACTTTCCCGTACTATTCCAAGACTCCTGACGGTACCCCTCCGAGTGGACAAACTGGGAGAAGTTGACTCCGTTCTTCCTGACCGTGCGTTTGCCTCCGTTCATGGTCTCCTTGCTGGCAATGTCGCATAATAAGGCAATAGCTTGGTTAACCATCCTCCATG